AACTCCCCCCATTTATTGACAAACGAAAGATTGTCATCCACTGGAGTAATCCACACCCATTTGTACCTCCAATTCTTACAAGAATTAGGGTAAGACTTCGCAGCGAATAGGCGATGGCCTACCCTCTGAAAGATGGAGAAAAACCTCTGGGTTTCAAAGGCATTAGACCGAACCGAATGGAAGAATGTCAAGAACAGATCTAGGGTTGACCTAATTTGAAGGGAGAAGCATGGGGCTGTGAACCCAGCAATAAACAAATGAGTGGTAGGGGTGAGTTGACTGGGATGACCCCGTAGTGGACCATAATGTTCGGAAGAGTGGGGTGGAGGGGAAAACGAAGACCCATTTCAAGGTTGGACAGGTAAACCCCAAAATGAAGGGGAGAGGGGGGCTCGATGATGTTCTGCCCTGGGATAGGGTGAGAACAGATTACACTAGGCCCGAAGAGAGCCACCGCATCATTAAACTCAGAATCAGAAATGGCGGCGGTCGGCACCCCACAGGCAAAATCAGCTGAGAAATAGAAGTGAGTTTTTACCCCCCCGAGAGTCCATCGGAATCTTAGGCCGGTTTGAATTGGCCTCGTCGTAAGGGAAAACAGTGTGAAGAGGAACGGAACTGGAAGAAGACATGAATGAACTGACCTGAAAAGAAAGGTTGGGACGACGAAGGGAGCTTTTCTCGTCTAGGGTTTGTGGAATGCAGACTCTCATAGGAAGAGAAGGTTTGCACGAAGGATAAAGTGTACCTTTTATAGTTGGGATCCCAACGCCCTTCGAATTGCTTTGGAACCGCTACCAAGGCACTCAAGTGTTGAAGATGGTAAGGCGGAGTGGAGAGTCGTGAAATCAGACACGTGCCAGCCACATTTTATACGAAACGGCGCCACATACAAAAGGGGGGAATTCAAAATTCAAACCTCGATACTATCATAAAATTAAGCCCATATTATTTTAGAGAGTAGGGGGCTTATGATGGTACCATGAATCACAGTCATGGCCCAAGAACGAATTAAAAACAAAGTCCATCAACGAGACAACCCATCAATCAGGATTAAAATAACTACTAATAGTCGTTGGGCCTGACTAGGAATCCGACCCGTGAAAGGAACCCACAACCAGGCCGTTCTGGACAGCAGACCTCAAGCCTGGGCGGGATTCTAGCAAGGTCAGACTCATCCTAGGGCTTATGTGGTAGGCTATCATTTGAGCATAGCTATCTAGCTGCGGCAGGGAATAATAGAAGAAACATAGACCTAGAGGAATAATGATTGCACCATATTCGAGACGTTGCAAGATTCCTATTTATGATTGTATGCATTAAATGTATCAGTTTCTTGTTAGAATACTATAACCTAAGGTCTATAAAGTCTTCATGTACATACCCTAAAAGGGATCGGTTCTCCGGAATAATAATATACTTCCTTACACTGCCTAAATTTCATTTGGTCTCATAAATTAGCTCTCGTAGTTGGAATTGAACTCCATCGGAGAGCATCAAGAATGAAATAAAAACTTTGCTCATGCTTTAATAATTCATAGACTAATGCTATGGTTTACTAGCAAATTGACAATGCAAAGGTAACATTGACAATTCTTTCCTATGAGTTCATCTCCGTGATCATTTCTCAAAGATTCACACAAAATTAATGATTATGCAAACACCCTTAATATCACCCGATAACGCATTATCGAACAACAAACCAAGGTAGAAGTCAAACACCATGACATTAATCCAATGAATTGTATTAGCATTGATCAATGATTTCTTTAGTACGTCAATTATTCATTAACATTTTAATGAAAACCTTATAACCGTGCAAAAAATAAATAAATTGATGGACAGTCTACCCGGGGGGTATCTTATCCGAGGGGTTATTGCGGGAATAACTAGAGAGAAGTCAGAGCAAAATAGGAGGAGAGAGAGTCGATTTTATTAAATGAACTCAGCGTGTGGGAGTTCGGTCGTTTACAAGGAGAAATGGACTGCTATTTATAGTAGCAATAAATGCGATGAGAGTACACGTGTCAGTAATCCAACGGCCGAGGGGTCACATCAATCGGGGTGGCACCGACCATCGCACGTTCCCCACATTAAATGTGGTGGGTGGATGTGACGTCGCATTAAATGCGGTGGTTGGCTGTCTCCAAAGGGAATCTTCGATGATTGAGTCCGTTTAGCCGAAGGCTCCTCGCGTAGCCGAGGGCTTTGTGTGGACGAAGGCACTGTGTGGCCGAAGGCTTCATGTATGGCCGAGGGCTTCATGTATGGCCGAGGGCTTCATGTATGGCCGAAGGCTTCATGTATGGCCGAAGGCTTCATGTATGGCCGAAGGCTTGATGTATGGCCGAGGGCTTCATGTATGGCCGAAGGCTTGATGTATGGCCGAGGGCTTCATGTATGGCCGAAGGCTTGATGTATGGCCGAGGGCTTCATGTATGGCCGAAGGCTCCATGTGTGGCCGAAGGCTCCATATGTGGCCGAAGGCTCCATGTATGGCCGAAGGCTCCCTGTGTGGCCGAAGGCTTCATGTATGGCCGAAGGCTCCCTATGTGGTCGAAGGTTCCATGTGTGGCCGAAGGCTCCATGTGTAGGCGAAGGCTTGGTTCAGCCGAGGGCTTCCCCTGGTGCCGAGGGCTCCTGTTTTCTGTCATTTTCTCCCAGTCGCTTCGCATGGTCGAATATGGCGGTTATGTGAGTTTTGGAGCCTTCGACCAAGGAGGCCGAAGGCATCCCTGTGTACTGTGGGCTTCTTGACGCTTGGGCCGCCGAATCTTGGGCCTCCTGAGCTCCTTGGGCTTGTTGGGCTTGTGATAGATTAGTAGGAGTCTGTGGGCCGGGGGTTCCCGGGCCATATACTCCATCATAAATATATATTATAATTTGAACAATTGAAATCATAATTTGATAATAATCAAACTATATTACCTATATAATAAAACAACCAGCCATATAACTAACATCAATGAATCGAAAATCACAAATATGAATTTTTTACCCCTAAATGCACATTAGCAAGAGGGATTACAGAAAAGGAGAATGGACAAAGACTTGTTGAAAAGAACAGAAACTAAATTTATCTTATAATAGAAAACTAAACACACAACACTACAAAATATTATATGGAAACCTCAAAGTAGAGACCAGATAACCACATGACAGTGTAAAAGACGCCAAAAGGCCTCCACTAATAAACTTTAATAATCTAGGCGCGTCAATTCATCGTCTCTAATCAACAATAGAAGCAACAATAGAAGCATATGAACTAGGAGTCACTAGATGAATGAAAACTCGGGAAATTTGACTATAAGATATGAGAAGGTATAGTGCATAAACATACTATAACATGGTGAAGATTGGAGTTCGTTTACTCCTCAATTTGAGCCAATCGACCAGTTGCCTCAAGTGAAAATGACTCATCCTCATTGCTTCACATCCTCACAACAGAAACTTGAAAACCAATTTAACATTTGGTTTGTGATACCTCTAAGTAATTGGAGTGAGAAAAAACAACTTTAATAACCTTAGAATACCTCTTAGTACTTCGATGGAAAAACAATTTATATCAAGTTCGTTGCCGCTAATTTGATGTTGTTGTTTGTCTCGAGAAGCGTCGATCAATGTTCTTCGATGTTGTTGTCTATGTGGTGGTTGTTGACGAAGACAAAAGAGCCGATTTTGTCTAGAGGTGGGGGTGAGTGGGGAAGAGCAGTGAATCGATGTTCGAAGCTGGGGAGGAGGCGGGCACGAATCCAGTCCCGTCTAAAAGTGAAATGAAAAAAAACATTTGAAAACTGAAAAAATTAAAAATGAAAAAGAAAAATAGTTGAGCCATAAATGATAAATGACACACAAAAGCTGACTCTATGGGTAATTTCCACAATAATCAAAGCTAATTACTACAGACTATTTCCTTAGCATGAAGCCATTAAGGATGTTTTTACTTGGACTGTAATTTGTTCCAGATCAGACCAGACCAGACCAGTTCAGACCAGACCAGACCAGACTTTGATAGTTATAAAAATACAAAGAAACCAGACTTTATCAGACCAGACCAGACCAGACTTGGATAGTTATAAAAATACAAAGAAACCAGACTTTATCTGACCAGACCAGACCAGACCAGTTCAGACCAGACCAGATCAGACCAGACCAGACCAGCAAATTACAGTCCAAGTAAAAACATCCTAACTGTAACTCCGTAAGGATGAGCTACGTGCTCATTAGGGCATCCTCATTGGTAGGATTATTATGAGATTAAATTGTTGACATGACAATGTTTTTTAGAGAATTGTCATTGAGTGACATATATTATTTAATGAGATTATTTACCACAATATTTGGGATCAAAATATGAATCCGGATTATTTTAAGATTATTTGAAAAGTATATGTAATAGAGATTAACGCAGGAGAGAGAAATTGCAGATTATTTGAAGATGATGATTGAGAGACGAATTTTGAGATTATTTTAAATTTAATTAAATAACAATATTTAAATGGTAAAATGATTATTAAAAAAATGATTATTATAAATCATGAATATAGATGCTCTTAAAGAGCATGTGACATGCTCTCTAATTTTTTTGAGAATACTACGCACATTTTGTGCGCGCTTGGTGATATCAAAATCAGCTGAATCGGCTGATTGTGCTGAAATTTATGAAGTTTTGGCTAAAGCGGCTGAATTGGCGGATTCTGCTAATTTATGAAAAAATTATATTGAAAATATATTTTATTAATAAAGTACAGAAAAAATTACATGTAAAAATAACTAAAATAGTCATCTACAATATCTTCAGTCAATACAATCAGAAAAGTAACAATTTTACTTTTCTTATTACGGAGTATTACCCAATCGAAGAAATCGAAATTCACGTTGGCTTTTATCTTTGAAATATTATGCTTTGTTCGGTTCTTGAATTAAAAAAGGTTGCACTTTTAAAGGTAAATTCAAAACACACCACGTAGCACGGTTTTGCCATTTCTAATTTTCAAGTTATTTCTCTTGTCTCGTTGATCTTGAAATCCAATTATTGATCCAAACAAACGCGTATATCAAAAAAAAAAACTTCCTTCCTGCTTCTGACCTTCTTGCTCTACTACTCCATCATCATCAGATCCAACTAAAGCAGAAAATAACCAACCCACTCCAGAAAAGCACAATTCCCTTCTTCTTGGAAGGAACCGAATATGGACTCGTCGGAGCAACGCCGCAAGCGCAAGCGCCTCCTCAGGCCATCGACGCCGCTGCCCCATCTCCTCTCCGTGAGGTCTTTCCTCTTATTCTTCTGCTTCTTGCTCTTTCTGTATCTTCTCTCCTTCAAAATCCCCATCACTCCCTCCTCCTTCCGACCCGTATTGGTTGTTTCAAGCTTCTCTCTACTTTCTTCTTCTTCGACTACTGGTGTTGAACCGTTTCGAGGCTTCGGTCGTGTTTTGCATCCGGTCAGAATTGAGGGCCGGGTTTTGTTCCCGGATCATGTTCTGTTGCTGGCCAGAAATAGCGGGGTGTCCGCTGAGGAGACACTGGAGTGTGCGTATGTTAGTGGAGGAAATGCAGTTTCGTTGAATGTATCATCTGCGGATGATTATGATCAATCCAGAGTCATTTTCAGGTGCCCTCTCCCGCCCACAAACCATTCCGCCATGGTAACTTTGCGGGGTGTGAAAGATGGTTTTAGGGCTGCAAATCTGACTGCGGCGCCTGCCTCTTGGTCAAAGCTGGTCTACACAGCGGCACTGGATGGGGACACTGCGGTGGTATTTGTGAAAGGGTTGAATTTGAGGCCAGACAGGGAATCAAATCCCAGCCAATTCAGTTGCCGTTTCTGGTTGGGGAAGAGGGTCGAGGTCTGGACTAGGGCCATAACAGCTGCCCAGGAGATCATCAGGTGCTCTTTACCTTCCAGAATTAACAAGTCTCCCGAGAAAGCATTGGGCAGTAGCGTGACCATTGGGATGATATCTCCACTCGGGGTCCGCACAGGAGAGGAACACAGCCGCCGCCGCATTGTCTTCCCTTCTGTGGCCGAGATTTCGAGCTTGGAATCTGCCAGTGGCAAGGGAAGGGGCAAGAAGCGCGAACTCTGTGTGTGTACGATGGTGTGGAACCAAGCATCCGCTCTGCGCGAGTGGATCACATACCACGCTTGGCTCGGTGTGGAGAGGTGGTTTATCTATGACAACAATAGCGACGATGAGATCAAGAGCTTGATCGACCTTCCCGATATGCGAAGCCTGAACGTCACTAGGCACGTTTGGCCGTGGATCAAGACGCAGGAAGCTGGGTTCTCGCATTGCGCCCTGAGGGCCAAACAGGAATGCAATTGGGTTGCCTTCATGGACGTTGATGAGTTCTTCCACCTTCCGTATTCATCGGCACGTCGAAGGTTCCGGAAGCCCGGGTTCGCTTCTCAAAATGCCCTCCGGGAATTGGTGATGACTGTCTCTTCTTCGCCGTCGTTGCAGGTGGGAGAGATTAGAACAGTGTGCCACAGCTACGGGCCGTCTGGGTTGGATCGCCCGCCGGCTCAGGGAGTGACTGTGGGGTACACCTGCAGGCTCAAGAACCCAGAGAGGCACAAGTCTATCGTGCGGCCGGATGCATTGGACACGACGCTGCTGAACGTGGTCCACCATTTCCGCTTGAGGAAGGGGTTCCAGTACTTGGATCTGCCCCAGGGCGTGGCGGTCATAAACCACTACAAGTACCAGGTGTGGGAGGTTTTTAGGGCCAAGTTTTTCAGGAGAGTGGCGACGTACGTTGCAGATTGGAAGGAGAACCAAAATGAAGGGTCGAGGGATAGAGCGCCTGGGTTGGGGACGGAGGCCATTCAGCCCCCCAATTGGCGTTTACAGTTCTGTGAGGTCTGGGATACCGGCCTTCGGGACTTCATTTTGGCCAACTTTGCTGCTCGCTCTTCCATGGCTTTGCTGCCCTGGGAGATTGGTCCATGATGATGGTGAACAGCTAGCTATGATTCTTTCTCTCTATTCTTTCTCCCATATTTTACATTGGGCTCAGCAGTCAGGTTTTTTTAAAGGTTGTTTTACAGACTCAAGGATGAGGCCATCCGCCATAGGGCAGTCAGGATAGATATGTTTCTTTGTTTTTGTTTTGCATATATCTGTACTTGTGTAACATTTTGGTTATATGATGATAGTTCTTGTATTGTCTTGTATACACGAGAGTGGTGAAATGACGACCATGAATACTTTTTTATGTTTTTATTGTAAATTTGCAACTTCTGCTTCCTGAGGGAGGCTCGGTCTTTCGCAAACTCCCTTCATACACAACCTTGGTATGAATGTTTCATTACATTCGTTCTGATTATTCTTACAAGACTGGTTTTTTACTAGTCATATAAGCAACCCAAAAATAAGGAAACATATATGATGGAATCATATATGTTTCCAGAGTGGGTTTATAATGAAAGAATCCACTACATAAATGAATGATAATGGAGATACCACATACTGACATAGCGACATACTCTATGATCATATGATTCCAAAATGAAGTTGGAACACGAGTGTCTGGAAAATCAGTATCAAGATAAATCTGAGGACGGATGTATTGCTTCCTTGCTAAGTACCACTGCTGGTAATCAAAGCCCTCTGATATTTCAAAAAAAGGAACCGGACTGTGAAAGGAATGGAACAAACGTGTACGGGTTTTTGATTACGTTTGTTGATATCCCAAAAACACACCCTGGAATCCAAAAACTATCCCCCTGACATTTTTATGCTAATTTTCTGCGTTTTTTTACCTCACTGAAACGCTGAAGTATCTCCTTATGCAGCTTTCTATCTAGGAAACAAAATAATTAATAAGAAATCCATCCATACAACAAATATAATTGTGCTCCACTGATAACAAAGAGTCAAAGAAAGTCCCCCAACTAATGACTAATAGAGCGCTAAAGAAGATCACCCAACAAGCCTATTCCAATTTCCAAATCCTACTCACAAACCGATGCCATGAATATCATAGTAGTATTTCTCCAGGTTTGTCTTCACCAACTATGCTTGTTAGACCTCCAGCAGAGATGTCATCACCCACAACTTTTTCTAGTGTGGCATCTAATTTTTCCCCAATCAAAGTGATCCATGCCTGTGAGTCAACAAGGAAGGCATTGAGACAAGTTTATTGAATTATCTTTTAGTGCAAGACTATTCATTCAATTCCTATCATTTTCAGGCCATTTATCCAGCCAGAAAAAGCACACTTTAAATTGAAGTCCTGCATTTGCATATGGATATTACTGTCATTTGAAGGGACAACAGGCAGGAGTGCCTTAATTTCCATGCGACAACAAGTGACGATAATTCTATATAAAAGCACCATGTGCTCAATGTTGACATAGTGGATTTCGCAGTCTTCTTTCTCAAGTAAATTCGACACATGATGGTTAGAAAAATGAATGGTAATTATTTACCTGATCTGAAGTTGTAAATCCTCGGACTACATTACCACCAATTATGGCAATTCCTTTTTCTCCAACAGGTTGCAAGATTACAGACTAAGGAAAACATTATATCATTAGCAAAAACATTTTCACGAGTCATGAAAATGGTCAAGAAATCACACACTCAGAAACCCATAATACCAAGCTTTGAATAAAGAAAGATCAATGTGATTCTTCCTATACAAGAACATATAAATTGGTGATCAACAATAATTGAGTCAAGTCAGTCAACAAAATAAAGAACACAATCAACACTTCTAATACCTGTGTATTCAAAGGCAAAAAGGGTAACTCTGACTTCCCGGGGTACAGAGATAAGTTGGCCAAATACCTCTCTGAAAAGTAAATTTATATATCATCATGCACACAGAATCAAGTGCACATCTTCAAGGTATGTTAGCATCACCTAATACGCTAGGATCTTCTTATGTTTTCTCCTTTTTATTATATATATAGGAATATTCTCATACAACCGGACTGACCGGAAGTGCCGTGCGGCCGACGCTGTTGGAGAGGCTTCCAGGTGGAACTTTTTGATGAAAATTTGCGAGTATGTTCTTCATGAAGTATAGATTATCTCCACAAAATTTCAGCATAAATTTCAACCAGGAAGTCAGTTAAATAAATTATTGAAACACGCTGCGCAAAAATATGCATAAAAAACGCAGTGTTTTTCAACAATTTATTTAACTGACTTCCCGATTCAATTTTATGCTAAAATTTTGTGAAGATAACCTACACTTCATGAAGAACATGTTTACAAAATTTCATAAAAAAACCACCGACAAGCCACTCAAACAGAGACTGCCGCACAGCACTTCTGGTCAGTCCTTAACGTAAAAAGTGAGAACAAATCTCAACCATCCAAAATATATCCCGATCTGCGATCAAGTAAAGGGTAGTAGAGGGTATTTACGTCTTTTTATACTTCTTATACTTGTTAGCAGTTTATATAACTGATCTTTCAGTTAATACATTCAAACGTTTTAGTAGTGGAAACATTAAATTCCATATATTAAATAATGTATTGTATTTACACGTGGACTTACATGCGCATATATAGAATTACAGAAACTTTTGCATCTTGTAAGGCCGTAAGGGAAATATTGTTTGTGAGTAAAAAAGATAAGGAAAAAAAATATCTTTCCTTTTTATTTTATTTTATTTTATTTTTAGAAGGAATATTATTATGGAATCATATTTCTTCGTTATTGTTATTCATCATATCATAGTTATATTATTTGACAAATATTTTAATTTTTATGTTGTATACGAAATGTGAGTTAGATATAGGTTAATGTGCATAACATATAAATGGGTTGTGAGTTAGATACCGGTTCATGTTTGTTACATATGTGAGGTTTTGTGTTAGATATTGGTTCTTGTGCATGACATACTTGTTGTGATTTTCTATGTCCATATTATGTGCTAGATACGAGTTCTCTAAAGTGTATACATATTGTGCATTAGATACTAGTTCGTGTGTACTATATGAAGTCCTTATGTGTTAGATATTAGTTCTTAATTATTTTGCGTCATGTACTACTTTTTGTGATTGAGATATTTGTTATGGTGCTTTATATACAAACTATGTGCATTAGATATTGATGGTTGTGTATTAGATACATGTTCTTGTGAGTGCGGTAGCTGGAGATGCTTCGTGTGATTTAATGTATACATATTATACTTAATTTTTTTAAATTATATATTGCAATATTGGTGTCATATGAAAGATAATAAAAAATTATTTAACTTATTATAATTTTTTATAAATTTGGATTATAATTAAAAAGTTAAATCAATTTTAAACTAAAAACATTTTATATGATTCGAGTTTTAATTTTTACCTACTCTTTAGTTATTATATATTAGACATAAATAAAATGAGTATCAACAAACATCTAAAATAAATTTATTGAGTTTTAACCTATCTTAATTTTAATCTACATTTTCTTTACTTCTAATTTTCCTATATTTTGTTGTTCATATATATTAGACATTAAAAAATGAGAATCAAAACATATCTAAAATAAATTTATTGAGTTTTATTCCCGAGTTTCTCCAGGATCCAACCTGCCCCTATAGACCATTACAAGGGAAATAGAGCAAAAGTGGGGGTAGTCAAAATCGCGATCTTGCACGTAGGATCGTACGATTATACGATCTCTACTACTCATGACGATCCTGGTTTTGATAAAGATAGTAAAATACTAGAATCGACGAGATCGCCCGTGCAGAACCGCAAACTCGTGGAATCGCAGGTCAATAGCGACTAGTTGTCTTAGAATTCTAAAGGCTTCAGGATAAGGTATCGTCGGCAAAAAAGACCGAGTATTAGCGACCTTGTTATCTTCACCTCAGCGGCTCAGCTGTCGGCAAAAAGACCGCATCTCTTTGCGTCGCCTTGTTATCTTGAATCGATCTCTAGGCCAATAGTATTAAGCACTCATTATTTCTATTTTATTATACTACTACTTTGTATTAAGTTTTAAATAGTATTATTACACCAATAGGTATGTTAAATTATTACGCAGTAGTGCAGTACTATATTTTTTAATAATATACTACTTTAATTTAATGTCAGCTGTTAGCCTTGTTACTATAATTTATTATTATTATTATTATTATTATTATTATTTTATTATAATATCTGAAGTATTGGGTATTATATTCTAAATATCTTAGTATGATTATTATTGATGAATTATATTCAATACCTGATTATAACTATATAATATTATATATGTAGTATGAATTATTTTCATGTCTAATTATTACTAATATATATATACACACACATATACATATAACGTATATGGTAGGATCTTACGATTCGAGTCACGATCCTACGATTTACGATCTTCAAGCCCCTATACGATCCTACGTAGGATCTCGAGTTTGACTACCTTGGGTTACACTTTATGCTGCATACACTTACGTGATCCAGACTTCGTAACATCTTGATAAAGTGACCCTTGCATCAATTTTTTAGCGTCAACAGGGATTGCTCCATCAGATGAAGAGACAGAAGAAATTCCCATTTGAGAGATACATTTGCTATCATAAACAATAATTAGAGACCTGCAGCATGTCACATTTGATAGAGAATCCCATGCCCTATGAAGAGTCAAAAAAGAAAAGATATGATATTAACGGAATATAGAAACATAGGATTTCACATTGCCATCATTTCAAAGGCCAGGACTAACCAGGCATACAAACAGAACAAAACGATTCATGGGATATTTTTAACAATCAGGCAAGTACCAAAGCAATTCAGAAATTACAAGCGCAGGAACACCAGAAGCAATTTTTTGGCAATCCACACCTATAGGATCTACCTGAAACCATCAAGCTTAAAATATCAGTAGGTGTAATATTGGTGTGTATCCCACCATTTGGCATCCTTTGCACCACTGCCATGAGGCATTGGAGTCTTGGATAAGGATGCAGATTGCGAAAGTCTGGAAGAGGCCTAACCCCTTTTACATAGGTTCTCTACTGAATTCGAGTACAGCAAATATGTTTGAAGAACACATCCCCTTTGGATTCTTTTGACATGAGTTCAGCCCAACTAAATCAGAGGAAATTCCTTAAATAGGAGTGAAACGTAGCACGATTCCTCAAATAGGACTGTCATTGTTTTCTTCCCCAAATAGGACTCATTCACTCCTAGTTTGGAAAGTTTTTACTGTTTTATTCTTTTAATAGGACTAAATAAGTCATATTAGGGGGTGTTTGGTTAGCAGCCTATCAGCCAACTTTTGGCTGATTTGACTAATATTGGCCTTTTGACCGGATCAATCAGCTAAAAAAAGTGTT